AATATTACATGTTAATAACTTGATTGGAATTATAACCTTGAGTTGACAGTTTGATACTTTGAAAATTTTGAGCCAGCCCTACCCCCAAGGGCTGTAGGGTGGGGCCCAAAGGAGTCAGTGTGCTAAAATTTCTTCATTTTCCTTGTTTAGAATCAGAGGTGCTAGTTTCAAATACTTTTTAGTCTTAAATCTGTATGCTAGATATTGAATAAGGTGGTTTTATTGTTTTTTGTCACTTTGAATAATATTTCTGTTCATGTTAAAAACATAATCAACTGTCTGTATAAATATATCAGGTGACCGTTAAGGCCCATGAGCCTCTTGTATCTGTTATTTATCATCTGTAGAAAGATGTACAGCCTGAGGAATTGTGATTGACTGAGATTCTGTGGATACATATTTACCAGATACATGTATATATTTAATGTATAAACATGCTAATTTCATTGGGAAAGCTATTTTATCAACAAATATAAACTCAGAAGAAATATTATTTTGCTACTTTTTACATCCAAATTTCATGTATAAAAATATAAATAATATAATAAATATAAAAAAATAAATATCTTTTTTTTTCAATCATCATCTTCAGAGTCAGAATTATACATTTAAAACTGAAATTCTCCAGGCCTACAAATACTACAATTACAGAAATGTTCATGATTGTTTAGGATCAAAATAAGCTACAAGAAATAAAGCTGTTCTGTAAATTCAGAATTTTAACGTTGTCAGTTCGAGCAAATTATGTTGCATTATTATGTATAATGACAAAAAATAATGAAAAAGACGCTAAAAAAGAAAATGAATGGATATTAAAAGAATAATTCATTAATTTTCCAGGGAAAAAATAGCCATTAAAATGTAACAGTTACAGTGATTTCTTAAAATATTCGAAAAACTAGTAAATGGCAAATATTCCATGAAAACACTTAATTTGATAGGGATTTTAATGTGTTAAATTGGCATTAATGAAAGATAGTGCCCATCATTTATTTAACTGCAATGATCTTGTTTTGTCAGGGTCCATCGCTCCAGGCGAGTTTGTCAACACGGCCATGTCTGTACTCGAGGGAATTTCTCAGCATCCGGCCATACTGACCGAACATGATGGGGTCATCATAGAGACCGTACTGCCCATCCTTGCTACCCTGGTGGAAAGTCAAAACGGTCAGTTTGCTTTGAACACTGCGATGCTTTTTCATTTTGTTCTGCAGACATTCAAAGTTTGCAGTTTATCATTAAAGATTTCGTGTGTGGTATAAATTTTGTACAAATCTTCAGTCTCTGTGTACCGGGAAATGTTGATGCAGTTTAGCTTTTGTCATTTTGGCCCTCAGTAATTAGGGCAAAGGATTAGGGAAGTTAAGGGTCATTTCCAGCCTGATCAGGGATTTAGAATTAGTTATATTCTTAATTTGGGATAAATGAAGTACAAAAATATGAAGTTTCAAATTCATTCAACAACTGGTATAGGAGAAATGGCGTAACAAAGAGAGGTGTATACCCACATCTATTGTGTTATTTACGATGAAAATTGGCTATTTTTGAAAGCTTCCGCATACATCAACCAAATAAATATTTGGCATGCTGAAACATTGTCATACCAGTGGTAATTCGTAGAAAGGAATTCTAGGTTGTCACATAAGGAGGTTTTTATTTCTGCATGCTAACAGACAAAAAACACCATATTTTGGCTATTTCTGCATAGCAACGCAATTTTGTTGCTGTGGTGGGACATCTACGCATGCTCAATGAAATAAATCTGCAACAGAAAAGATAACCCGAATTGACCAATATGATGTTTATAAAGAAAATAGGTAAATAAGTTTTAAGTTGAAATTTTTACTTTTTATTGTTTGGCCCGAAAATGACCCGTCACGCCCTAAGTCCTTTATCATGACAGCAAATATTAGTCTCCTTGAAGAGATGAAAGTACTGAAGACATGTTGTTGAGATTTTTTCTTTTTATACTATTTCTTTGTCCATAAGGTTAATTTTTTTTGCTTTTATAATATATATATATTTATACCTGTTTACAACTGTATATAATAAGTCCAGTGTGTATTTCCCAGGAGACACCAGAGCGCTGTCCCTGCGTCTTATCTCCGACATGGCCACAGTGTACCTGAGCCAGGAACAATATGAAAGCGAGGCCAAGATCAACATTACACATCTTCACAAAACTGTCAGTGACATCCTCCTTCCTAAGTACGTTTATTTTGTAGCTCGTTTCTTATGATTCTTCATTTCATGTAAAGATAATTTGAAGTCCTCATAATAAAACTTCTAAAAAGAAAATCAGTTTTAGACGTAAATATTTATCGAAATCATTTATTGCCATTTTTCCTTCATTTACACATGAGTTCTATTTAGATATCAGATTTATTGTGTATCTTTTGTTACCCGAAGTGCATACTTGTTATTGCATGTCAAATAATATGTCAAGAAAATAATTGGTTAGAAAAAACTTCATTTTATGCTAAAGTTCAAGATGTGGACTCAAAAAACCCCTATATGATGTAGCAAAAAAACACCTATATGATGTAGCATAACTTTGATATCAATAATGGCCTTATCACATATTTTTTGATTTTGGAAGGAATTTTTTCTTGAATTTTTTTAAATTTTCATTCTGAAGAAGATTGAAAGTTGGAAATCAGTTTGAGATAGGTACTGAAGGATAGAGGTAAAGAACTTGTACATAACTTTACCATGTGGTGTATAACAGGTTTGAGTACATCCTACTGGACCAGGAACCGTTGCCTAGTTACGGGATGAAGCTTCTGCTAGCCCTGCTGGAGCACAGCGGAACCTTCATCAAACAGTTTGAACAGCTTGGGCTTGTCTCTGTTATATTCCAAGTTCTTCTGGTGAGTTTGATTTACTCACTGTTGTATGTTTAGTAATATTTTAAGTTCATCTGTGATGTTTAGTATACAGTTAAAGTATGGGGTTGAGGGATAAAGCAAGTTTCTGGTGTCCCGAGACCAGGTCTATTTCCCGAGGCGAAGCCGAGGGAAATATACATGGTCAAGGGACACCAGAAACTTGCTATATACCTCAACCCCATACTTTAACCGTTTTATTATACCGATACACAGTGGAAAGATAGTTTTAACTAGAAAATATTTGTAAACCACAAGCTGTATAGCTTCAAGTCCCAACTACCCTTTTGATGTCAATGGAGCCAAATGCTTCCGATTTCGGTAGCAAGCTCCGCCCACCTCGCGCGTCGCTTCTNTGTAGGACCACCAGAGTATTCCCCTGATTAATGCTGTAACACTACTAAGTGTCCGTTTGATGTGTTCTGTAGGACCACCAGAGTAGTCCCCTGATTTATGCTGTAATATTACTTNGGGATATATTCGATTTAACCAATTACTTTTATATAGAGTAAATAAAGTAGAGGTATAATAATAATACTTTGTATTCTTCAGGCCCTGCACTATTTTGAAAACATGCCTAATATTCAGTAGTAGATTTTAGATCTTCAGATGTTTTATAATATTTAGAAAATCACATTTGTGTTCAGGAACAATAAATAAATTGCAAGTATTTGAAATCTAGAATATTTCTGAAAATAAACTTCACATATAAGAATAGTTCATGTTAAATCATTCACCTCTGCATAGTTAAACTGGACTTGCCCAGTTTTTGATTTGGTAAGGTTCAAATGTGACTTTAGGGGTGAATGGGTTAATAGCAATATGAAAATTAAGATTTTGGTAAGTTTCCATGGACCTGTAGGGCCTGTATTCATGATTTTGTGCTCAAGCCAGATTTCTTGTACTGGTTATAAATAAATAAAAAAATAATATTTTGTCAATGATTCTGAAAAGATTTGAAGATATTTAGAGCCGAATACTGTTTACAATGTTTACATTTGACTAAATGATCATTTGGCATTATTAAAGCTATAGTAACAAGAATATATTGGTCGGAGCACAGAATCCATGCTTGAGCATGAGAATGGTTTTATGAATATGGGCCCAATACCCTAAATATGGTGTACAAACAACATATACTTACATGGTATGTTTAATAGGATCAAGCCCCTGATTAATGCTGTAACACTACTAAGTGTCCGTTTGATGTGTACTGTAGGACCACCAGAGTATTCCCCTGATTAATGCAGTAATACTACTAAGTCTCCGTTTGATGTGTTCTGTAGGACTACCAGAGTAGTCCCCAGATTAATGCTGTAATACTCTAAGTGTCCATTTTGATGTGTTCTTTAGGACCACCAGAGTAATCCCCTGATTAATGCTGTAATACTACTAAGTGTCCGTTTGATGTGTTGTAGGACCACCAGAGTAGTCCCCTAATTAATGCTGTAACACTACTAAGTGTCCATTTTGATGTGTCCTGTAGGACCACCAGAGTATTCCTCTGATTAATGCTGTAACACTACTAAGTGTCCGTTTGATGTGTTCTGTAGGACCACCAGAGTAGTCCCCTGATTAATGGTGTACTATTACTAAGTGTCCGTTTGATGTGTTCTGTAGGACCACCAGAGTAGTCCCCTGATTAATGCTGTACTATGACTAATTGTCCGTTTGATGTGTTCTGTAGGACCACCAGAATAGTCCCCTGATTAAGGCTGTAACACTACTAAGTGTCCATTTTGATGTGTTCTGTAGGACCACCAGAGTATTCCCCTGATTAATGCTGTAACACTACTAAGTGTCCGTTTGATGTGTTCTGTAGGACCACCAGAATAGTCCCCTGATTTATGCTGTAACACTACTAAGTGGCCGTTTGATGTGTTCTGTAGGACCACCAGAGTAGTCCCCTGATTAATGGTGTACTATTACTAAGTGTCCGTTTGATGTGTTCTGTAGGACCACCAGAGTAGTCCCCTGATAAATGCTGTACTATTACTAAGTGTCCGTTTGATGTGGTTTGTAGGACCACCAGAGTAATCCCCTGATTAATGCTGTACTATTACTAAGTGTCCATTTTGATGTGTTCTGTAGGACCACCAGAGTTGTCCCCTGATTAATGCTGTAATACTATTAAGTGTCCGTTTTGATGTGTTCTGTTGGACCACCAGAGTAGTCCCCTGATTAATGCTGTAATACTATTAAGTGTCCGTTTTGATGTGTTCTGTTGGACCACGAGAGTAGTCCCCTGATTAATGCTGTAATACTACTAAGTGTCCGTTTGATGTGTTCTGTAGGACCACCAGAGTAGTCCCCTGATTAATGCTGTAATACTATTAAGTGTCCGTTTTGATGTGTTCTGTTGGACCACCAGAGTAGTCCCCTGATTAATGCTGTAATACTACTAAGTGTCCGTTTGATGTGTTCTGTAGGACCACCAGAGTAGTCCCCTGATTAATGCTGTAATACTACTAAGTGTCCGTTTGATGTGTTTTGTAGGACCACCAGAGTAGTCCCCTGAGCAGTGCGGTACAGAGTATAGCGGGTATACTGAATTGTCTGGTCAGTCACCGAGAGACCAACATGAGGGACCTTTATGACCAGGGTCAGCATTGATTAGTACTGTATACCAAGACATTTTCGCCGCGGTTTAATTTTTACTTTCTTTGCCTTTCGCAATTAAGGCGAATATATCATGACAAGGAATATTAGTATGCAACATATCAGATAAATTAAATACGTGTGGAGGGCGAAATTAATGCTGGGCGAATATTGATTTGACCTGTGAAGGGTGAATTTTTGACTGGGCGAAAGTCTCCTGGTATACAGTATATGATGAGCTATATCATCAAGACATATTCGGAACCAAAAATGTTAACTTTTGTTAGAAATTTTTCTTGATTGACACGAATATCATAGGAATCATCATAATTTATTGTGAAATGAAAATTAATAAATTAAAAAAAACGCAATAGAAAAAAACCCAGACCTCAAGACACAACAAGAAAACAAAACAGTCATTTTGAACTGTTTTTTTTTCTCCGAAAAGACTCAACTTTCCACAAGATTCCATTTCTAAGTTCTGCATAAATGCAAATCTTCTTCATTGATAGATTCAGTAGATTTGATCTATTATAAAAGAGGCAAAATATCAATGACGTTTCCTGTTTCTTTACAGGCCTGATAGACTATTTCTCGACACTGTTCTTTGAGGTGTCGGCGGCGTGTTTTGAGGGAGACGAGAGGGGAGGGGACAGTAAAGCCACCTACACCATGTTACAGGTGCTCCTCGATACCCTCAACAGTATGCTCAAGTATGTCTCCGAAATCGTGAGGAAAGCCCTGCAGGTAAAGATTACTACTTTTCTATGTAATTTGATATTTAAAATATGTTCAAATTACCATATTCAAATGAATGAGCTAAAGGAGATGTTTCTTTAGTTATTGGTTCTCAATTTAATTTTATTCATTTTCTCCTGCTAAAACAATGGTACTTCAATGACAAGGTTGACAACATTTAAAAAGAATATTTTCGTTTTACAATATATTGACTCTTTTTCCCATGATTGCTCAAATATCCAGGTGAGTGATACTGACCCTCTGGACCTCTTGTAATTTCGTTGATTCCATGGGGAAACTTTATCCATGAAATTCAAAGGTCCACAAGGTAATAACAGGTTTGATATAAAGCAATTTTCTGTTTGAGTGGGTACTGGTAATCCATGAATTCATGTACCCATGAAATGTTGTCGGGAAACCCTGAAATTTGGGCCCCAAGAAAATATTTGATTTCACAGTACTCCATTCCCACATGTTAATTAAAAATGACACCTAGCTATGTGTTAAGTTCACCCACCTCTGATGTTACAGACGAAGAAGGCGGGGATGGATGGAGGAACACGAGATGCTGAGGATGCGGAGCAGTTACTTCTCATTAACAAATCTCTGACAGATGTTACGAATGTCCTTACTCAACTGGTGAGTACACGTGTAAAAACATGATATTCAACGGCTAACCTTATTACATTGTTTTAAATTTAAAGCCTGTATCTGGGCACTCAGTGTTACCCAGGGGGAGAGGGGTGTATTTAGTGTTTCTCTTACCTGTCCCCTCCCTGTCATGTTGTGATTCATTGGTCATCACTCTAGGTTTAACGACTTCATACTGTGGATGAGTGGGGGGCAACGGGACATTTGTGTCCTACATACATTTGAAATTACTCCTCCTTTGTTGCTGTTGAAGATATGTTTATGAGGAAAGATTTAATGAATAACTTAACATATATATAGCAGTTATACATGTCTGTGACCCTAATTAAGATTTCTTTATATACCAACAAATGAAAACCGAGGTAACATCAGTTGTGTAGAGGATATGTAATGCTCTCCCACTAAGTGCTGTGATGATTTCACGAGTATTGGTAGAATACCAATATCTTTATAGGAAACTATCAAATATTTTTTCTTCTTTTATTTTTCACTTAAAAAAACAACAAAACTTTTTGACATTATATGCAGTGATCATGTGATATTTCTGTGATTTCCCATGTTGACAGCAATGTCGTATGTCATTTTTGTTGCATTCAATGATATACTGTATAAGTGGAAATTCTCGTATGTGGAAATGTGTATGTTCTGACTCTTGTAAGTTATCGTGGTATGGACATATTTGTGTTGTCAGTGGGTCTGAAATCTGTATACTCTATAATATAATCGATAAATTAATATTTGTGTGTAGATGTTTTATTCGACGCGAAAAATGTCAGCATTTCCACATTCGTAAAATTTCCATTTTTACAGTAATTGACAGGTATTTGCTGGAGAATTTCATTGTCTTCCTGCTGTAATAGACTCAGTTTCTATCATTGTTGACGTAATCTATCCCCAGCTGTATTGTGACGACTCCGACGTCCAGGATCTGGCCACCAAGTGTCTGTCTCTCCTGGTCCAGCTGTTTGGAGGCGAAAACAAGGATGCCATGTCCTTGGAAAACATGGTCAGTCACTTAGTAACAAAGTCTGTAACTGTAATATTATCATATACTTGTCCCTGATATGGGTTGTTTAGCATGTGTGATACTGCTAGCTGTATGTCTTGTCCATATCCGTAACCCATATCCTCACATGCCATATCTGCCCAGCATGTGCCATATCTGCCCATCATGTGCCAAATCCACCCAGCATGTGCCATATCTGCCCAGCATGTGCCATATCTGCCCATCTTGTGCCATATCTGCCCATCATGTGCCATATCTGCCCATCATGTGCCATATCTGCCCAGCATGTGCCATATCTGCCCAGCATGTGCCATATCTGCCTAGCATGTGCCATATCCGCCGAGCATGTGCCATACCCGCCCAGCATGTGCCATATCCGCCAAGCATGTGCCATACCCGCCCAGTATGTGCCATATCCGCCCAGCATGTGCCATATCCGCCCAGCATGTGCCATATGCCCAGCATGTGCCATATCCACCCAGCATGTGCCATATCCGCCCAGCATGTGCCATATGCATTAAACTTTGGGTTCAACACTTTCAGAAAAAATCACCCCTCAAACTGGTAGTGTACACACTGTATATATACATCTTTATTTGCTATTCTGTTCATTTTGTTTTATTTTAGGTAGAATATGATTAAAGTTATTATGAAATATAAATTTTCTTCATGTTTTGTGTGTTATTGCTAATATAGAGCAGTGTATGATAAAAAGGTTACTATTAGGATCATTTCCATATCCTTGACCCGTATCGGCCCTTGACCCGTATCGGCCCGAGGGGGCCAGAATGACACGATGAATGTATGTATATATGACTGTGAAATGAGTTGTTATCGTTAAACAAAGAATTGTTCTGTGATTGGCTGATGATCAAATAAACACAGAGATCCTAATGTTTGCCAAAAAAAATATCAGGACTTTCATCTGAAACTCGACAGATAGAAATGAAATGATTGAAAAAAATCATAAATAATATATAGAAGTATGATTTACACTAGTTTTTGAACAATGCCCACCTCGCTGGTAATGGTTGATGTGAAAGGTAGATGTGTGAAATTGACTGTTCAAGGTGTATAAATGTTTTAACAGTGTTTTTTTTATTATTCATGCTGGTATGAATGCAAAACAGTTACTTCCATATATAACATGAAGGCCTAGCAGTCTTCATGCATTATGTATGTACATGTAAATAACCCATTTGCATTCGTACTGTATGACATGGTATTACCATAACGATATGAATCGCGGTTCATGTTACCATGGGCTTCACAATATCATATTACACTAGCATGAATGTTGGAAAAAATTCTGCTCAGCCCCTTTCAAGTTTATTAGTTTAATCTGCCCTAGGTATTGATCACTTTTCCTTGTTAGGACACATATTTAATCTTACTTTCATTTTGTTTAATTACAGGACTGTTACAGCAGGGCATTGCAGAAATCTGATGCTAAAAGACAAAAAGTTCTTCTTCGAATCATTAAACGCCTGGTGAGCTATAGTGGTACATTGTTATGTCGGTACGAAGGATGTTTGAAATGTTTTTGGGATAAGTGCTACCTAGACCTCACACACTAATGCTAATTTGTTAGAGTTATTTCTCTTTAACTTTTAGTTAGATTTGTCTAATTAATTGTAATCATTAAATTATTCTGGCATAGCGCGGCAAAATATTGTTATATTTATCACTTCTTTCACCCTATTTGACTGTAACATTACAGTATCATTAGCTAGGATGCAGTATAAGGCTAGCTCTGAAGAATTGTTGAAAGCCATTTGGAAAGTAAAAGAAGAATATACATACGAATCATTACAATGACAATTTTTTTTATTTTTTTTATTTTCCCAACAAAATAACATTTAACAATTTATTTCAATTATTACAGTATCAATATCTTCTTGTGTTTCCACATCTATCTATGTCTAATGATTATAGGGCATCTTACTTCCGGTTCATACAACCGAAAACGGTCGCAAACAGCTTAATCCTTTATTCTAATATATTGGTTGTGGTGATATTTTTTCGCTAAAATTAAAATATCATAAAAAGCGGGTTCCACTGTTGAATAAAACCCTGTAAAGCTTACCTACAACCTTAAGACATTTTTACGTCAGTCCATTTGTTGCTGACAATTGTGGTGGCCGTTTCAGGTAAACAGATGATAATTAGTTAACATCCGGTCAAAAGCTATGTACATTGGCTTCCATGTGATGATGCTATGAACTTTTACATAATTTGCGTGATGATGCTGTGGTTGCATCTCATAATTTATGTTCAATTCATTTCAGCTGAGCACTGAAAAAGCACATGTGGATCTGATGAAACAACATGGCGAGGACTTGGCCATGACAATACGTAATCTTGTACAGACAGGGAAGTGAGTATACCAGTGGTTACCAGGGGTGTAGCTAACCCTTGTCTGGAGTGGATTCATTTAGGGTCCAGGGCAGGGCCTTGGTAGGGGGACAAGGGCAGGGCCTTGGTAGGGGGACAAAGGGGGGGCCTTGGTAGGGGCACAAGGGCAGGGCCTTGGTAGGGGGACAAGGGCAGGGCTTTGGTAGGGGGACAAAGGGAGGGCCTTGGTAGGGGCACAAGGGCAGGTCCTTGGTAGGGGGACAAGGGGAGGGCCTTGGTAGAGGGACAAGGGCAGGGCCTTGCTAGGGGGACAAGGGGAGGGCCTTGGTAGGGGCACAAGGGCAGGGCCTTGGTAGGGGACAAGGGCAGGGCCTTGGTAGGGGGACAAAGGGCAGGGCCTTGGTAGGGGGACAAGGGCAAGACCTTGGTAGGGGGACAAAGGGAGGGCCTTGGTAGGGGGACAAGGGCAGGGCCTTGATAGGGGGATACGGGCAGGGCCTTGGTAGGGGGACAAGGGCTGTGCCTTAGTAGGGGGACACAGGCAGGGAATTGGAAGGGGGACAAGGGCAGGGCCTTGGTAGGGGGGCAAGGGGCAGGGCCTTGGTAGGGGGACTCAGGCAGGGCCTTGGTAGGGGGACTCAGGCAGGGCCTTGGTAGGGGGACAAGGGCAGGGCCTTGCTAGGGGGACAAGGGGAGGGCCTTGGTAGGGGGACAAGGGCAGGGCCTTGATAGGGGGATACGGGCAGGGCCTTGGTAGGGGGACAAGGGCTGTGCCTTAGTAGGGGGACACAGGCAGGGAATTGGTAGGGGGACAAGGGCAGGGCCTTGGTAGAGGGACAAGGACAGGGCCTTGCTAGGGGGACAAGGGGAGGGCCTTGGTAGGGGCACAAGGGCAGGGCCTGGGTAGGGGGACAAGGGCAGGGCCTTGGTAGGGGGGCAAGGGGCAGGGCCTTGGTAGGGGGACTCAGGCAGGGCCTTGGTAGGGGGACAAGGGCAGGGCCTTGATAGGGGGATACGGGCAGGGCCTTGGTAGGGGGACAAGGGCTGTGCCTTAGTAGGGGGACACAGGCAGGGAATTGGAAGGGGGACAAGGGCAGGGCCTTGGTAGGGGGGCAAGGGCAGGGCCTTGGTAGGGGGACAAGGGGCAGGGCCTTGGTAGGGGGACTCAGGCAGGGCCTTGGTAGGGGGACTCAGGCAGGGCCTTGGTAGGGGGACAAGGGCAGGGCCTTGCTAGGGGGACAAGGGGAGGGCCTTGGTAGGGGGACAAGGGGAGGGACTTGGTAGAGGGACAAGGACAGGGCCTTGCTAGGGGGACAAGGGGAGGGCCTTGGTAGGGGGACAAGGGGAGGGCCTTAGTAGGGGGACACAGGCAGGGAATTGGAAGGGGGACAAGGGCAGGGCCTTGGTAGGGGGGCAAGGGCAGGGCCTTGGTAGGGGGACAAAGGGAGGGCCTTGGTAGGGGCACAAGGGCAGGTCCTTGGTAGGGGGACAAGGGGAGGGCCTTGGTAGGGGGACACGGGCAGGGCCTTGGTAGGGGGACAAGGGGAGGGCCTTGGTAGAGGGACAAGGACAGGGCCTTGCTAGGGGGACAAGGGGAGGGCCTTGGTAGGGGGACAAGGGGAGGGCCTTGGTAGGGGCACAAGGGCAGGTCCTTGGTAGGTGGACAAGGGCAGGGCCTTGGTAGGGGGACAAAGGGAGGGACTTGGTAGGGGCACAAGGGCAGGGCCTTGGTAGAGGGACAAGGGGAGGGCCTTGGTAGAGGGACAAGGACAGGGCTTTGGTAGGGGGACACGGGCAGGGCCTTGGTAGGTGGACAAGGGCAGTGCCTTGGTAGGGGGACACGGGCAGGACATTGGTAGGGGGACAAGGGCAGGGCCTTGGTAGGGGGACAAAGGAAGGGCCTTGGTAGGGGCACAAGGGCGGGGCCTTGGTAGGGGGACACGGGCAGGGCCTTGGTAGGGGGACACGGGCAGGGCTTTGGTAGGGGGACAAGGGCAGGGCCTTGGTAGGTGGACAAGGGGAGTGCCTTGGTAGAGGGACACGGGCAGGGCTTTGGTAGGGGGACAAGGGCAGGGCCTTGGTGGGGGGACACGGGCAGGACATGGGTAGGGGGACAAGGGCAGGGCCTTGGTAGAGGACAAAGGGCAGGTCCTTGGTAGGGGCACAAGGGCGGGGCCTTGGTAGGGGGACTCGGGCAGGGCCTTGGTAGGGGGACAAGGGGCAGGGCCTTGGTAGGGGGACTCAGGCAGGGCCTTGGTAGGGGGACAAGGGCAGGACCTTGGTAGGGGGACAAGGGCAGGGCCTTGGTGGGGGGACACGGGCAGGACATGGGTAGGGGGACAAGGGCAGGGCCTTGGTAGGGGACAAAGGGCAGGTCCTTGGTAGGGGGAAAAGGGCAGGTCCTTTGTAGGGGGGAAAGGGCAGGGGCTTGGTAGGGGGACAAGGGGAGGGCCTAGGTGGGGGGACAAGGGGAGGGCCTTGGTAGGGGACAAAGGGCAGGTCCTTGGTGGGGGGAAAAGGGCAGGTCCTTTGTAGGGGGGAAAGGGCAGGGGCTTGGTAGGGGGACAAGGGGGGGGCCTAGGTAGGGGGACAAGGGGAGGGCCTTGGTAGGGGACAAAGGGCAGGTCCTTGGTGGGGGGAAAAGGGCAGGTCCTTTGTAGGGGGTAAAGGGCAGGGGCTTGGTAGGGGGACAAGGGGAGGGCCTAGGTAGGGGGACAAGGGGAGGGCCTTGGTAGGGAGACAAGGGGAGGGCCTTGGTAGGGGGACCAAGGGCAGGTCCTTGGTAGGGGGACAAGGGGATGGACAGGCAGTGTTTTTGTTTTGTTTTGCTGTTTGAAAAGTTAGTGGATTCACCAGCGCACCAGTGTATAGGCAGCTACGCGCCTGGTAACATATTGTTGCATGATTTCAGTATGACAGCATTGATAAACCAGATTTTTTTTAAAAGGAATGAAATGTGAACATTGTGCTGGATGTATTCCCAATGTAACTTTTTGAATTCGTAATTCAGTGAGTCGGGAGTACTATTACAACAACGGATACTGTATACTGACTTTAGCACACTCAGAATTTACGGCATTATCAAATGTTCACAGGTTAATTAGCACATTAATAAAAATGGCTCACCCACAACATATGTAATAAATGTTTACAAATGTCAGCTTACTGAAATGTCAATAAGTGCTAACATGATATAGCCTAATAGCTTAAGCACAGAAAGCGTTAAAATAAGACTGACGCTAAAATATGTACAGTTTCAGTACCTTGACGGATAAATTGTTATATATTTCAGTTCACGCGCCGATGTTGATGTACAGTTTCAGTACCTTGACGGATAAATTGTTATATATTTCAGTTCACGCGCCGATGTTGATGTACAGTTTCAGTAACTTGACAGATAAATTGTTATATATTTCAGTTCACACGCCGATGTTGCTTTGACTTCTCTTGCGGCTGATATTTTGAAATTAACGGATTTCCATCGGTAACCAGAAGGGAAACAAACACCACGGTTGTGATCTGAAATTTCCATTCCATTTTAAATGTGACATTGACGGCTCTGGACAGAGGTCATTTGTGGACAGCGATCTGGACAAAGGTCGTTTGTGGACAACGATCTGGACAAAGGTCGTTTGTGGACAAGGATCTGAACAAAGGTCGTTTGTGGACAATGATCTGGACAAAGGTTGTTTGTGGACAACGATCTGGACAAAGGTAGTTTGTGGACAACGATCTGGACAAAGGTCGTTTGTGGAGAACGATCTGGACAAAAGTCGTTTGTGGACAACGATCTGGACAAAGGTCGTTTGTGCACAACGATCTGGACAAAGGTCGTTTGTGGACAAGGATCTGGACAAAGGTCGTTTGTGGACAACGATCTGGACAAAGGTGGTTTGTGGACAACGATCTGGACAAAGGTCGTTTGTGCACAACGATCTGGACAAAGGTCGTTTGTGGAGAACGATCTGGACAAAGGTCGTTTGTGGACAACGATCTGGACAAAGGTTGTTTGTGGACAACGATCTGGACAGAGGTCGTTTGTGGACAACGATCTGGACAAAGGTTGTTTGTGGACTTCCGATACTTACATGCCTGTAATTTACTAACTTATAATAACAATTTTTTTCATTGTTAAACTGGTTCAGTGTTTAATATGTACGTATGGTTTAGAGATATGTATGGATGTATGGTTCAGAGATATGTATGGTTCAGAGATATGAATGGTTCAGTGATATGTATGGTTCAGAGATATGAATGGTTCAGTGATATGTATGGTTCAGAGATGTGTATGGTTAAGGAAATTTTATGTTCAGTAATTTTAATTTACATGTGACTATGGTTCAGAAATTTCTGTGAAGGGTTTATTTTATTGATGTATATTATAATTATAAATTTAACTAGAAACTCATTTAAGAATCTACATGTAATGTTTATATATATACTTACAGATTGCATTTATTTGTCGGTTCTAGTAGGCAAGTGAGCTGAATCGATACGGTGGCATGCATCATTCTTAAGATTTATCCAAACCATGCAATTAAAATTACCAAGATGGCTGCCATGATTAGCAAAGACATTTCCTACCTCTTTTCCACGACAAACTATTAGGATTTTTCAGAAATTGGTATGAATAATGTTCTTGGCATCATTGACAATTGTTGCGATTTTCCAGGTTGAGATACTCTTTTTGTCCTTAATCATCAAATTGTACTTTGTTCTGCAGTTAGAGTGTAGCTTTAAAGATAATGTTGGATGAGTGATACAGGCCCTATGGGCCTCTTGTTTATGTTTTTTGTGAGAGTATCTTGCTGAGGTACTGGATTGTATAGTTATCTTATTAAGATTGTAGGGTACCTTTATTTACCGACTTACCATTCCACTGTGTCCGTCCATTTTGCACTTTTTGTGTTCAGAAAATGTTTACGATCAAAGTCAAATGGTTGTTTGTATGTTGTATTAATGTGTGCACATGGAAAATGTGAATAAATTTTATAGTAAACAATTAATTTTTTGTTTTAAAATCAATTTTCTCTTGAAATGGTAGCTATCAAATTCATGTAATCATTGAAATATATATATAAAAACACAAAATTAAGTTATTTGATTTTTTTAATACCCAAAACCATATATTACAATGTTTAGAATGTACAATGTTGCGCACACTTTCTTCCTCTCAGTTTTCACGCCACACAACTTCAGCCTCAAACTGACAAGCTTACACATTACGAAGTATAAAACACTCAAAGCTTTCTCATTCATCCTCCATCACCTGGCATACAACAAAAATAATAACCAAAGCTTGTCAACACTAAAATCATCATATCACTGACTATGTATATCATCTAGAAACCATGTATATTCGCTAGGGGTACCTTGTTATTCTAAATGATTTGTCTCTTTAAACTTTCTGGTTAAAATTAATAAGAAATATATTATGTAACATATCTTCAATAAGATTCCTCAGCTTGGAAATATGTAATGTCAAAGTTTTACTTTATACACAAACAATGTACATATTAACATGTTATAACGTTTCAAGACCGACTGGTCCCTTTGTCAAGTTATGAGTGAGTGAGCAATTTGTATTGTTTATCTGTACAACGAAGTGACGAAATTGTATATTTCATATTTTTACTCGACCGGGTATGTTTCGCCTATCAATAGAGAGTGTTTGTTAAACACACTGTATCAAATATCGTTCTATAGGTGATCTATTCAAACTGCTCACTCAATCATAGCTTGACAAAGGGACCAGTTGGACTTGAAACCCTACGACACGTTTAATATGTTCATTGTGTATAAAGTAAAGCTTTGATATATGTAATGAACAATTTATTTCCTGATTGTGTCCAGAAAGCGATTTGTACAGTTTTTACAAATTCATTTTAAATAGTATCCCAATTCCGAAACCTCCCTTACTGTAGGACTCGCATCCATCCAGAAATTAGTTTCTCTTACTCCCTGGAATATGTCATAATAAAATCCAAGGCAAATAATAAGCTGTTTCATTGGTTTCAAGTAAAAAAAACCACCTGACCTATGTCTGAATCACTAAGATGATAACTATGCTTTGAAGATTACAGAGGAGCGACACCTGGTTTTAAAGTCTGTCAATTTTACCGTTATGCTGCTGCATGATTCTCTTGATGTGATCAAAGGATCAAACTGGTCTACTTGTGGCATCCACAAGGTCGCACAAACAGAGCCTTCAATTTTGTCACGACATATTCCAGTTTGGAGTTTCTAGCTAGGATGACTTGCATCTGGACACAGACACTTCAAGTTCTATACAAATCTGGAAATATACACATTATTTCCCCGAGTAATGGAAGAACTATATCTATCAAAAGTGATTCACTTTTTATGTGGATTTAATTTCTAGTTTTCATTTTACAGTGAAAAGTTGTTCACACAGAAAAATTCTGCTTGTAACATTAACATAGGTGGCTAGGAAAAGTTGATTGAAAAGAATTGCTTTTATTTACCAGAAATTACGAGATGCGTGAAAATTTCAACCCCCGAAAATTTCTCTTTTCCAGTATGTACAATGTGGATTTCCAATCCAAATTAACCTGAATCATTATCGATATAATGATGTCAAGCAGTCCTGTGATTTTTTATTTTTTTAAATTGATTTTCAATTAAGTTTAATTAAAAAGTTAAAAATCCATGTCAAATGTTAGGTTCTGTGAGAATATAACTATTCGCAGTAATACAAATCACCTCGTACACAAGTCAATCTCAAATATCAACAAACCCTCACGATACAGAAATATGACTTGATACTGATGTATAAGCTAGGCACCTACTATGTTACAGCACTATCAAAGCCAAGCATACATAAACTGTCCGTCCATTATCTTTGTTGAGATGTCCAACAACTTTGATCAGGCTCTTTTAATAATTGCATGGAAATTTAAACTTTTGACAGAATTTTTTTTACCTTGGACACCAAACATTTTTGAATAACATTTCCATGCAAACAACAACATTGCTAATTACAAGGGATTTTATTTCATACAAAAGTTGTGTAATCAACTTATGAGGAATAAATTGTGAAGATTTGTTTTTAAAGATCTTTCTTACTGTCAAAAAGAAAATTCCAAAAAATAGTAGTTTTATTTCATACAAACACCAAGCTGTAAGCAAAATTCGGTGACATCATTTAAAAATATGATCTTAGTGAAGAATCAATTTTTACATTGTAAAACCTGCTTATTCAACAGATGTTTAAAGATGAAAACAATTTCAATATGGACTTAATTTTGCCCCCTCCATTAATTGCAGAGGGGGAAAATGTCTTGTCAGGGAACAGAATCTATAGTACACTTGTATTTCTGTATAGAGAGGCTCAACTGAAATAATTTCCATTTTGTGAATGAAGAAAATCAATCATTTCTAATTTCCTGATTTCATACATTATATAATGTTTAAATCAAAATAAATTTTCTAAAAATATACTGAGATATTTTTAGTCAATACGTGATGTCATAGTCCAACTGTAATAACATGACATCACAGTTAGTCCGATTATAGTAATGTGATGCCAGTTGTCCAACTATAGTAGCGTGATGTCAGTTGTCCAACTATATTAACGTGATGTCAGTTGTCCAACCATAGTAACGTGATGTCAGTTGTCCAACCATAGTAACGTGATGTCAGTTGTCCAACCATAGTAACGTGATGTCAGTTGTCCCCATAGAAACGTGATGTCAGTTGTCCAACTATAGTAACGTGATGTCAGTTGTCCAACCATAGTAACGTGATGTCAGTTGTCCAACCATAGTAACGTGATGTCAGTTGTCCAACCATAGTAACGTGATGTCAGTTGTCCAACCATAGTAACGTGATGTCAGTTGTCCAACCATAGTAACGTGATGTCAGTTGTCCAACCATAGTAACGTGATGTCAGTTGTCCAACCATAGTAACGTGATGTCAGTTGTCCAACCATAGTAACGTGATGTCAGTTGTCCAACCATAGTAACGTGATGTCAGTTGTCCAACCATAGTAACGTGATGTCAGTTGTCCCCATAGTAACGTGATGTCAGTTGTCCAACTATAGTAACGTGATGTCAGTTGTCCAACCATAGTAACGTGATGTCAGTTGTCCAACCATAGTAACGTGATGTCAGTTGTCCAACCATAGTAACGTGATGTCAGTTGTCCAACCATAGTAACGTGATGTCAGTTGTCCAACCATAGTAACGTGATGTCAGTTGTCCAACCATAGTAACGTGATGTCAGTTGTCCCCATAGAAACGTGATGTCAGTTGTCCAACTATAGTAACGTGATGTCAGTTGTCCAACCATAGTAACGTGATGTCAGTTGTCCAACCATAGTAATGTGATGTCAGTTGTCCAACTATATTAACGTGATGTCAGTTGTCCCCATAGTAACGTGATGTCAGTTGTCCAACTACAGTAACATGACGTCACAGTTAGTCCAATTATAGTAACATGACATCATGAACAAGTAAAACAAATTTCTGTCAATACCAATGACATTCTTTTTAACACTCTAGCCATGCATGTTGAAACAAAAATCAAGGTTATAAAATTACAATATGTAAACAATTTCTATTATCATGGATTTAAATTCAATAACCTTGTAACTTTAATGGGATAACAAATTACGCATATCGTAAATCTTATTTTCATAGTGTACCACATGGTCTCAGTTTGAAACTGGTAAGATGACAAATCTGTACAAATTTGAAGTCACACATAATATTAGTAAAATATTGTAGTTCATTAGTTTCTTCATGAATTAAATTTCTAAATGAACATTAACGGATCCCCGTACCACTGCCAAAAACCGTGTGACATGACTATAGCTTTGTTAAATCATTTCTGAAAAGAAAACCACACCTTACAGGACTTTTATGAGAAATAATAAAAGATGAAATACACAAAATATAATCAACATCAGTGTGGCGAGACCGGGATTCTAACCCTAGGCCTTAGATTGCTATTACTATCGCTCTGACCGATAGAGCTACCTGCATGGTCAACAGAAATGCCCTTGCCCAACTGTGCTACTGTTATATCCAAGTAGAAGTTAAGGGGAGGTTACTCTATGTAGGAAAAAAAACAGTACAGTGGGACAGGGATCCTTTGAAACAGGAATAACAAAACTACTTCCATGTTCAAAGTTACACTTATGAAGCTTAAACTCATTTACCCCTGAAGAAACATTTGAACTCTCCCAATTCAAAGGTGGATTAGTTCAATATGAAATTTCAGGGGTGAATGAGTTCAACAATATAACACAGCTTTCTTGTAAAATAGAACATGTACAAAATAGGACATAAGGAATCTCTGTACACTTCAAACAACACAAACATTTCCATAACTATGTATGGCACATGTTTATAAATTAATTTGTTTCTTAACTTTGCTAATATTGCTTATTGTAATTTAACAATGAGCCCTTGCCTTTAATCTTTAATCAATTAACTCATTCACACCTACATATTTAAACTGGACTTGCCCAGTCTTTGATTTGGCAAGGTTCAAATGTGACTTTAGGGGTGAATGGGTTAAAATACAAAAAAAATCACAAACTTTCCTTGAACAATGTGCTCACAAACCAGGGACTGAATACAATTATCGTCACTGCCTTCTAGGAATATGAAAAGCATGTGCCTTTGAACATAACCGTATACAGATCATTTTCCTAAATTCTTGAAGTCTATCAATTTTGGCGTCTCATCATGAATTGATGAGAAGTAACACTCGACTAAGACTTCTATCATCCAATTTGAGTCTAAGACATTTCATGTTGATTTCTAATAGTACAATTGTATGAAGAATGATAAATTCATAAAAATCTATGGTTTTATGAACTGGAATGATTTGATAAATGTTATGTACGCATCAGGTCACAAGGTCAATTTGTAGGAAGTGATCTCCATCGGAGGTATATCGAGTTCGGAATGTGGGCTCCAAGTTCTCTTCTCATACATATGTGTAAGAGTGGTCTCCCTTACACTAACCACAGAGAGGTCTTTTAGAAGTGTACTTATAGTCACATTAGATGTCAGAGAACACTCTGTGCCATCTGAGGGCAAGGAACACAGGAATCCACTACGATGCAGCACTAGACTCGTACCTTGATAGTCTAAAACCTCATTAACAAGATTTCTGAGACTGACTAGTGTGATATCACATGGAAAGGGGCCCTGGGAGGGGGTGAACACAGGGGACAGAATTTCAGTGTTGACTTGAGTGTACATTGTCACTATGGGCTGTTGTAGGGCCTCCCCTATAGATAAAGCCAGCAGTGAGGGGAAGGTCGTGACCCCTGGTCCTGCTGACTGGGGCTCGGTGAAGGGTTCTATTTGTAAAATGAACCTACTGAGTGTGAGTTTATTGTCTTCCACCCCCTCTCCAAGGCCTCTCTCATCATCATACATCAATTGTCTCTCCAGCATCACCTCTAGCTGACCCTGTTGGAGCCCCGCCACACCATGCGGCTGGCCAGAGTGCAACGTCAGACGACACTCATGGTCCTCGAGCACCGCCATGCTGGTCATTGGGTAGTAGTTGGCCTCTGTACGGAGCTTTGTATCTGTGGAACGACCAATCAGCTGGAAGCCGTTCTCGTCTGTGTAGTACGACAAATTTGAATTTTTGATGTTGGTGTTGAACCTCATTATGATCTCCCGATCGTGTAGCTCCTGTGCGTACATATTGATGAGGTTCTCTATATGGAGGCCCTGCCCCTGAGCCCCAGGGTGGTGGTACACTTGGACAAGGTGCTGGATATGGCGATATATGACTTCCACCTGCGACATGAGTGGCCCCCGTGTCACTCTGACAATAGGAAGACCCTTTAGCGTGGGGCCAGCACCCTGTGCGGTTGGGTAGAAGAGGTAGGCTCCACTTCCCTGTGATGTGTATTGGAGAAACTCAAGTTGTATAAATGTCACATTTCCAGTTGCTTTATTCTCTATCTGTTTAAGCATACCGTCCTTGGGACTAAATTCAGCTCGTAAAAAATCATTCTCCAATACTATGGGTCCACTGAAGTGATTAGAATCTCGAGGCCTGTTCTGATAGAATCGTGAGTGTGGTGGCACAGCTAGTTCCTTGGTATTATAGATGGTGATTTCAGCTGGGAATGAGTTGTCATTTGTCACTTTCTCTTCTTTATAGAGGAAAATTGTTTCAATTGACAAGGGAGATAGCTTTTTGAGAAATACTATCTCGTAAACACGTTCGTGCACAGCACTTTTAGTATCCCAGACAGGATTGATTTGGTGGGGCACAACTTGGTTGTCGGAGTCACGAATGATAAGATGGTCAGAATTGACCAGTAGTGTCCACATCTCTGTTCGGTCATGCATGGTTGGATTGTACAGCATGACTTTAGAGCCAAACTCGACGACAGGAAGGACCTGCCGGCGTGGGAGTGACCGATGGTCAGAGTAGGACAGAGTTGGGCTGATGATCAGAGGAGAGTCTAATCGCCCCTGTGTCAACAGTGTTTGTGTCGCAATTGTCAAAACTTTCTGAGTGCTGTTGTACGCTGCCATTAGGAGGCGCTCAAAGTCCTCGACGACGTATGCCTTCGATGTGCCAGTGATGGCATCATGATGAAGAAACACGCCCAGGTTACGACGGGCTTGCTGTAAATGTGTCGCAGTCTCGTGGTAATACTTAAAGGGACGATTCCACTTTTTCATATAAGCTATAGTAAGTACATATAACATTTCTGCGGCCCTTAAATTTGCCTGTACGTCCCTTGACAACTTTTTATCAAACGGTCGAGTTGTGAAGTATCCTGTCCAGTAGGCATTGTTTTTATCAGAATACGGAAAAAAATCACCACTTAGAGAAGGAAACTGTTCAATTGGATTTTCCTGTTTTAAAATTTCTTCCGAGTTCCTTACAGCTTTAAAGTAATCGGACAGTGTTCCAAATTTAATGTTAACCTCCCATTCCTCCTTAGTGTTCATATACTGCATTAGCATATCGTAGTTCTGGTATTGTTTGTCCCACTCCGATTCCTGGTCGTATCGGAAATCGTCACCAAGTGGGACAAGGATGGTGTTGTACCGATACAAACTTGCCTTGGATCGGTACTGCCTGTACAAGGCCGTAGCCAGCACCTCAACGTTCTTCACAGTGACTGGTTTAGAGAATTCTCTGTGGAAGCCGTGATCCGCCTGCCAAAAATCGAACATTAAACACACATCAGGGTTTGGACCGCAGGTGTGTTTGGTGCCGTACAACATATACGGCATGGTGTGACACAGAATGTCAGTGTGTCCTGTAGTATCCCACACCTGTCGCCAGTTGAATTCTAAACTTTTATTCCTTGCTAGAGCAGCCTTTGTGGATTGATGTATGCGCTGAATAACCATGTTCTCTAAACCAGCACTTTTCCACAAGTAGGGCATGGTACCGGAATGTCCGAATGGGTCAATAGACCAGCTGTTGACTGGTTTGGTACGGAGATTTTCCCCAAGCCACTGGTGGCCTTCCATCAGCTGGTCAATGATGGAGTAATAGTGTGTGCTGGCCTCATCTGGCATCACCCAGCCACCAAGGACGATCTCAAGTTGGCCCCGTCTCACAAGACGCCGGACCTGCGCCTTGGTGTCGTCTTCCAGTTCGTTCCACCACATGCTCAAAAACACAGTCTCGGCCCAGACAAAGGTCATGTTTGGGTAAATCCTTAGCTTATGTACCATATTGTTGAGAATGTTTTTGGTTTTGGTGACATAATACTCCTCGACAGTCCGTTGCCACCCGGGGTCATTGTGGCTATGTGGCACCACAATCACTGTCAGTGGCTCTGTAGAATCTGATTTTTCTGTTGGTATCACATACTGGCCATTGCTTTTCATGTCATAGGTGGTGCGGTTTTTCAGCGCCTGTGTGGTGATAGTGGTTGTGGGTGTTACAGTACCCATGCCCTGGCAGACTTCGCGGGACACAGACCGTAAAACACGGCCGTGGTACGGTGATTCGCGGTAGATGGGTCGATTGCTCTGACCTATATCAAGGATGGCCATGAGCTGTGTGCTGCCCAGGACAACCAGCCCCACCAGGGCAACCAGGCCCAGGCCAGCCAAGATCAACAAGCGTTGTTGGAACTTCATCCCGGACTCATGTTTCCATGGTAACCAACAGTCGGTCACCAACGGAGAGTTTAATCCTACAACAGAGAGAAACAAAAATAATGTCAATCATTGTCTCTACTGAATTCAGTTTTAAGTAGTTGGGAGATATTAACCTACAGATGTGTTGTCTCTAATTTAGCCTGGTATGATGTAAACTGCAATATTTTCGCCTACAGGCTTTTAAAAACAAAAACTCTTAGTGTTGAATTTGCATACATATTTTTACAAATACTGATAACGTTATACATGTATATATAATGTTTTTCCTTGTTAAAAGTGCAAATGTCACAAAAAAAAATTGGCAAAAAAAAGTCTCCAGTGTTACAGTAAACACGAGTCCTTACCAATTCCACATTCCCACACTCTAGAGCGATTATTTTTTATGAAAATGAGTAATATCTTTTCAGTTTAACTTTTTGTACAGTAAGAGCACCCCCATAGCCAGATGGTTTTACTCTATTACATAAAATTTAATGCAGAAGTGCACTGATGTCTGTTCATGGACATGTAAGCTTGTAAACTGAAACTTGTCATAACAATAAAGGGACAAGTACAGTGAAACTTGTCTTAACAATGCGGGGACCAGTACAGTGAAACTTTTCTTAACAATGCGGGGACAAGTACAGTGAAACTTGTCTTAACAATGCGGGGACCAGTACAGTGAAACTTGTCTTAACAATGCGGGGACCAGTACAGTGAAACTTGTCTTAACAATGCGGGGACCAGTACAGTGAAACTTGTCTTAACAATGCGGGGACCAGTACAGTGAAACTTGTCTTAACAATGCGGGGACCAGTACAGTGAAACTTGTCTTAACAATGCAGGGACCAGTACAGTGAAACTTGTCTTAACAATGCAGGGACCAGTACAGTGAAACTTGTCTTAACAATGCAGGGACCAGTACAGTGAAACTTGTCTTAACAATGCAGGGACCAGTACAGTGAAACTTGTCTTAACAATGCAGGGACCAGTACAGTGAAACTTGTCTTAACAATGCAGGGACCAGTACAGTGAAACTTGTCTTAACAATGCAGGGACCAGTACAGTGAAACTTGTCTTAACAATGCAGGGACCAGTACAGTGAAACTTGTCTTAACAATGCAGGGACCAGTACAGTGAAACTTGTCTTAACAATGCAGGGACCAGTACAGTGAAACTTGTCTTAACAATGCAGGGACCAGTACAGTGAAACTTGTCTTAACAATGCAGGGACCAGTACAGTGAAACTTGTCTTAACAATGCAGGGACCAGTACAGTGAAACTTGTCTTAACAATGCAGGGACCAGTACAGTGAAACTTGTCTTAACAATGCAGGGACCAGTACAGTGAAACTTGTCTTAACAATGCAGGGACCAGTACAGTGAAACTTGTCTTAACAATGCAGGGACCAGTACAGTGAAACTTGTCTTAACAATGCAGGGACCAGTACAGTGAAACTTGTCTTAACAATGCAGGGACCAGTACAGTGAAACTTGTCTTAACAATGCAGGGACCAGTACAGTGAAACTTGTCTTAACAATGCAGGGACCAGTACAGTGAAACTTGTCTTAACAATGCAGGGACCAGTACAGTGAAACTTATCTTAACAATGCAGGGACCAGTAAAGTGAAACTTGTCTTAACAATGCGGGGACCAGTACAGTGAAACTTGTCTTAACAATACAGGGATCAGTACAGTGAAACCTTTCTTAAAAATGCAGGGACCAGTACAGTGAAACTTGTTTTAACAATGCAGGAACAAGTACAATGAAACTTGTCTTAACAATGCAGGGACCAGTACAGTGAAACCTGTCTCAACAATACAGGGATCAGTACAGTGAAACCTGTCTTAACAATGCAGGGACCAGTACAGTGAAACTTGTCTCAACAATATAGGGATCAGTACAGTGAAACTTGTCTTAACAATACAGGGATCAGTACAGTGAAACCTGTCTTTAACAATACAGGGACCAGTACAGTGAAACCTGTCTTTAACAATGCAGAGACCAGTACCGTGAAACCTGTCTTAACAATACAGGGATCAGTACAGTGAAACTTGTCTTAACAATACAGGGATCAGTACCATGAAACCTGTCTACACCAGATACTGTAGGGACCAGTACAGTGAAACCTGTGTACACCAGATACTGTAGGGACCAGTACAGTGAAACCTGTCTACACCAGATACTGTAGGGATCAGTACAGAGAAACCTGTCTACACCAGATACTGTAGGGACCATTTTAATAAACTTTCCAGATTGTTAAGGTTCTGGTTTTTACAGGTTACACTGACTATATAAAACCAAAACATGGTTATCCATGAAACATTGGCAACTTGCTAAGGCGAGTCAAACAACTCCTGAGCCTGCTCAATCAACAGATGTAATTTAAGGTTCACTGTCCCACTGCACTGTAAGTTTTTGCAAATACAGTTACCTCCCCTTAACTTCTGTTTGGGTATGACTGTAGCACGTACAGTTGGGCCTGGACACTTCGATTGACTACGTAGCTCAGTCAAATAGAGTGATACATGTAGTTTAACAGTCTGAGGTCATGGGTTCGAATCCTGGTCTAGCCCCACTGAAGTTGTACTTTCAGAACACGATTGTTGATTATATTTTGTTTATTTCATTTTTATTAATTTTTCATCAAGACCTGCAAAGATTTTCTTTTCTTTTCGGAAATGATTTAGCAATGCTGCTAAAGTCATGCTGGAAAAAACAGTTTCTAAAGTACAAGATCAGTTCTGTGTGCTGGATCCTTAACTAAGCCGAGCTTGATAACCTAGCTGCTTTAAAAACTGATATTCTCATTAAAACACCCTTTCCACATTTGCAGGTCATATGTTACCTTTTTTACACTAGAAATCATTCATGTACAAGGAAATAAGTTGACAGCTCTGATTGGTTGATACAGTTAAGGGAATTAACATTAGTAATTCTTTAACCATGATTTTCCCAAATGTCACTGAGTATTTTTAGAATTATAAAGAATTAAGTGTACTTTGTTTTCTTGATCAATTTGAGATAAAATTGTCTGAATCTGATTGGGAATTGGGTCAAATAGACTGTGAGTATAATGAAGGATTTCCTGAAACTCTACAATATATAGCTGTCACTGACAAAATTCTCCAACAATCTAGTTGTAGACAGACAGACAGACAGACAGATAAACGGAACAATGCTGTATAAAGGTTTGTTTGTGTTTAACGTCCTATTAAAAGCTATATATGGTCATTTAAGGACGTGCCAGGTGTGGTTTATTTGTGTTTTACGTCCTATTAACAGCTATATATGGTCATTTAAGGACGTGCCAGGTTTGGTTTGTTTGTGTTTTACGTCCTATTAACAGCTATATATGGTCATTTAAGGACGTGCCAGGTTTGGTTTGTTTGTGTTTTACGTCCTATTAACAGCTATATATGGTCATTAAAGGACGTGCCAGGTTTAAGTGTTGGTGGAAAGCCATAGTTTCTTAAGAAAAAGCACCGACCAGCGTAGGCCTCGAACTCATGACCCTGTGGTAGAGGGCTAGTGGTAGCAGAATGTCTGATGCTTTAACCACTTGGCTAACGCGGCCCCATGAAAAGGACAGTCACCAGTGTTTCTTTGATCGATAACACCAATATATTTGCTATGTTTAAACTTATTCCAAATTAGAAAAATGAAATATAAACTTAGCATTTCTTCATACCGTACTTGTTACGTGACATTGTAACTACATCGGACACATTAGCTTTAAAACCTTAAAATGCTAGATTAGATCCCACAAATCACAACTAAAACCAAAGTAATCTATAAAATACCTTCAAATATTACCACATTTCATTGTCTTTCAAAGAGTCAATAATCGATTTCAATTATAATGCCAGCTGTCATCACCAAATATTTAATGCAGAAATAACATTTTCATATCAAATGTGACTGAAGCCTTTGAATATAAATATTAACATACTTGCCCACTCTCCCTATTTCGGAAGGAGACTCCCAAGACCCTAAAATTGAGCATTTTCAACCAATGAATTTGCTAAACTATTCCTAATTTCTAAGATCTGATGATTTCATCTGAAAGAACAGCTCAAATGATACCATTTAAAAATGTTTTTCCCTAGGATGTACATACACACATTTTATTTGTGCTTTTAATTTTGTGAATGCATAATCTCCCCTGGTAATTTTTTGGCAAGTAGGGAATATGTCAAACCTGTCTATAAAGACCACCCTATGGAGAAGAAACACCTGGATTACATAGAAACTGTCGATAAGGAAATAGTGGAACTGGCTAATAGGTCCATGATCTCTGAGGAATAACATTGAAAGAAGAAAACTCACCAAAATTTTACAACAAACATCTATGTCAAATAATAGGGTTGAACTAAACATTTCGTTGTGTCTACAAAAAGAGTTAGTTCTACCCTAGGAGTATATCTGGGGAATAAATTGTAAATTATACAAAAATGAAACTAATGACATTTGTACTATTGATCCATTAAGATATTAGGTATAAAACTGGTACGTACAGAAAGTGTAAAAATTGTTTCTTTGCAGCATTACAAAACTACATACGGGTAATAATGATTCTGAAACAGAAATGAGCCGAACTACTTACCTAATAGTCAGACCAAGAGGGGACTGTTTCCCCTAGCCCTTTTGAAATGTATCAATATTATTTTAAGCTTTTTCTACCAACACATTTTTTTTTTTTTTTACATTTGGTGTGCAGACTTCCAGAGAAACAAAATCAACAATATTACTACAGAAATTCTAAATAAACAGAGAATTTCCCTACACAGATGTTTTTAGAGTTGTGACAAAAGAGTGATTCCAGCTGCTGGCACAGATATATCAGTATAAACATGTACCCGGCTAATTCACCAATAATTCCTAGATAAACAGTTCTGTCTGCTCCATCATCATTTGTGATTAGTTAGGATTTACAAAAAGGATTAGTTGCTGCAGAGGTGTTCCCTCATCACCGCTAGCCTCGTCCGTCAGTAATCACAACTACAGGACAAACATCAAATCTCCTGGGAACCGACCACTTGAATGGCAGGCAGT